CTACGGGAGATCTACCTAAACCAAGAAATAGCTATGATATGGATTCAGCTGCAGGTATGGTTACATGTTGGTACAAACAAAGTCAATTTACAATATCGATATTAATGCCGTCCATTTTTTATAATTTAGATACTCAAACTCTTTTTTGAATAAACTTGTAATTAGCGGTTTATTCAAAGGTTTGAATTATATACAGTATAATGTGCTTCCACGTATGTCAATATGGTTGAGTTAACAAAATGCCGAAATAAAATTGTGTTTATTATTATGTTAGAGCAACTGTAGCGTCTGTGTGAGAGCAAGTAGCACGTGATGACATTTATCTGTGCGGGTCACCAGTGAAGTGATAACTCCTTCGACTGGAATTGTATGGGTGTTGGTAATATGTGCCCATGATGATATTTTGTAAACGCCTAAAGAGCGACGTTAAGCAGAACACGAAAACAGGCGAGTGAAGTTTAGCACTTGTGCATAAACGATATTAACAAGAAGCGCTCCAAATATCGGCAAACTTTCTGTCTTCAAAAATCATAAAATCATGACTTTCTGACAATGCATGTAATTTTACTATTACTATTAAGTCTTCGTCAAAATATTGTCCATTTCGTAAAGCGTCAGATTTATCTCTAGCTGCCGGACCCAGACTTTATATCCAAAATGTGGTTGTTTCTCATTGGTTTCCGTCAACAGATTAGTTTCGCTATATTCAGGATTGAGCAGAATTTGGAGTTTTATTACTGATACTCTTCGTATTTATTTGAACAATGGCACGATTAATAATTGTCTGTATTACATATCCGCCAAACTTGACGATATGGTACTTACAATGCCATCAATCATATGATCGATACTAGTCTAGTAAACAAGGTGAACCCCCCCCCCCCGTTATAACGAAGAGGGCGGTGCTATTAGTATTAGTAAAAAATACGGTTTAATGGGTTAAAATCACTATTCCTGGTTTTGACCCTATCTCGAGAGAACCCGAGAACACGTGACCTAACCTTGTCGAATTCTGCTCCCTCTAAAACGCCGAAAAACCGTCGTAAAGTTTAAATAGCAAAGGAATAATTGAGGATAGTGAAGGAGTGATATATAAAGTAATTTGAAAAGAGGAAGCCAAAGAGGGTTTAAAAAAGATTGGTGACCGATCAATTGCCGAAGAGATTGAAAACAAAAGTAGAAAGGCAAATTTAATTAGCAAAAAAACCATCTCTAGAGTAGTTTGTTTCATTGAATTAATTTGTTACTTCCTTATTTGACACCGGTAAATATAAATCGTCGAAAGAACACTTTTATCACGTGAGACCGACTTATCGAACAAAATGTCAAATGAAGCAGGTATTAAAGATTGTAGTTTTAAAATGCGTGCATCCCTTATACTTGCATCACGTAGAAAAGGAAAAAGTAGACATCAATGGTGCCATAGTATTCCGAATATTACTGTTGCTGCAATATAGTTTATGTAAGAACAATGACGTTTTACCAGCAAAAGGAAAAACGGATCCGGATTGTAAAATTAATTATTATAATCCATAATCAGCTGAACTTTTCAGGCTTATAGATGTCATTTAAGCAAAAAAGTTGCCACAGTTTTAAAAATGAAGTAGATCCGTCTATCAGCAATAATCCTGACTCCGGATTAGCTGCGCAACTATTGGTAGGAAATAAAGCGCGCACTTTAATGGAAAAAGCTTTCGGCGGCATTGCCGATGGCATTAATTCTTGGGACATTCACTTTGCATTATACTATTCACACTTGTCCCATTGTTTATTATACAATCAAGTTTTCGTCTGCTCAGCTTTCTTCTCGCTAGCAAGTTTTTCATCAAATTCGCCAGTACTGACTATTTCCTTAATTACATCCAACCCTCCTATAAGTTCTCCCTTGAAGAATAGCATGGGGTATGTTGGCCAATCGGCATATGTCTTGAGACCTATGGGTGGAGAGAATTCCGGCAAAAATATAAAAATATTAGAACATCATAATATCAGGTATGGCATTACATAACACGTAAATCCGTGTCTCTTCATATTACCGTCAACAACAAGAGATTGCTTTTACTCACCATGCCTAACCTCTTCATCGCTCAATATATCGAAACTATCAAACTTGATGTATTTCCCTTCCAAAATTTCAACCAACTGCCTGAAAACAACACCATCTCGTCAACATTGTACGTTAGTATAACATATACGCATACAATCTCACAAAAACTCACCTGGAAAATCCGCAGCGCGGTGCCCTGGGCTCGCCTTTCATAAATAACATCACATTCGCTTTTGTCGTCAATTCCTTCAACCGTTCATCCAGACTCTTTTGTTTTGGAGCCAAGTTCAAAAACTCTCCGCTGGAAATAAGTTCTTTCACCAAGTCAAGACCACCGACCAATTCGCCGTTGAAGTATAACTAAGAAAAAGGCGACAGATGTTTGCTATAACTGTTCGAGCAGATAGGGCGAAAACGATAGCAGAGTAGTAACTTACTTGTGGATATGTAGGCCAGTTAGAGTATTCCTTAAGCCCTTTCGAATGCGAAAACATATCAATCATCAAATGCATGAGCGGGCTGCGTATCGTCTCTTTACGAAATAGTCCCAATCAACCTTTACATAATTACCTTGTCTAACCTCTTCATCGGCCAAGATATTAAAAGAACTAAAACTAATATTATTTTTGTTTAATATTTCTACCATCTGTCTTGAGAACCCACACCGAGGCTGATTAGGTGTACCCTTCATGAACAGCATGACTGGAGAGCTGTCTAGTAACAAGCGTAGCCGAGTGTTTAAATCAATGTTAGGTTGTTTGGAATAAATAGAAGATGGAATGGAGGCAGCGGATGTCTTTGCGTATTTCTCAACGACGTCAGAAAGCGCCGGTGCATTTGCGCCCGAAATGCGCTCTATGCACTCTATAGGATCACTCTTTTTCGATTCATTCAACTAGAAAATAAATTGAAAACATGTGTGAATGAGATATATTCATTCCTGCAGAATGAGTTGGGAATTGTATAGAGACATTACCTTCAAGACAAGAAATACCGGAACGGCTTCTATTTGGAATGCTTCTGAAATGTCTGCAAACTTCTCAGCCTCGATCTTGAATAAGTTTGACAAAATGTGCGGATTCAATATATACAAACTTGTACAGTGAAAACAAATACGCAAGCGTTTATCCCTCTCCGATAGTCTCTTTTTCTCTACTCTTTGCTTTACTCACCATGACGAACTTACAATTACTATGGGTCTCTGCCAAAGTTTGGAAAACTTCGTTCATAGACTTACAAGGTTCAGCCCATTCTGCCCAAAAATCAACAAACACAACAGAGCCTTTGCTTTCTTTAAGAATCTTTTTCAGATCTCTTTCGTCTTCTAGTTTGAATAGATTGGAAGCAGCCATTATCGGGTATCTGATCGGTATGCTGTATGTTCGCGACGGTAGATTGTAGAATGTATTGGTATGACAGACAGATTAAGATTAAGATGCTAAAGTGAAAAATGATGACGTTTACTTGATACGCCATAATGAGTTGTCACATGCCACTTCCGAAATCGGGCTGTTGGTCAAAACTATTACCTATTACTATGCGTTAATTAATTGACGATTTGATCAAACTCCTACTCGCAAATTACCGACATAGAATCAAGTCAAATTGACGACGTCTATTATGCCATTTACAAGCAAACACTGGATGAAGTTGGAAAACCTAAGATAAATACATTCTGCTATTGGCGTAAAGCATCAATTGGTATTTAATGTCTGTGATTGATAGAAATAGATATCGTTGGAGTCCACTCATGTTTGCGTAACCCAAGTCCATAATAATTGTTTGATTTAATGGAGGACGGGTCTGTATAGTTCGAGTTCATACAATCCATCTGATCGAATGGTGATTCTTTATTATTATGTTATGTAGATATGATGTAAATTATGCGTGTGTATATTAATACAGTATATTCATTTCTTCAAGAATATCAAATAACACACAATTCGCCACAGCAACAATATATATATTTATTCTGCAGAAGCAAAATTTTTCGAAACGTATATAAACAACCTTTCAATTGAACTTGAATTGAATTGATGTAAAAACAAACATTTATTCGCCGCGAAATGCGGGGATGATCTTTAATATATGAGACGAACGTCATTTATACTTCATACTAATTTATTACCATATTCGGGCATAATCAAGTTACTCAAAAAACCCCCCATTTCTAATGTAGGTTCTAGTAAATATGCGCATCATCAAACGTAAACAGCAAGTACAACTTATCCCATCTGCTCTTTCTTTTCATTCTCTGACCACGAATCGATGGTGTTAAATTTGATAACAAGATCTGCCTTTAATATCCAGATAAACGTTACTAATATGTTTAAAACCAGCTTTTTGAAACCTACAGTGCCGCATGCTATCAGCTTTGTCATAATATTACTCTCCAAATGACGGTTATTTCGACGATGCAAATAGGCTAAAACGTCCGTTGTTTGGTAATGTTGGTAGTTAAATTTTGGAGTGACCATGAGCCAGTATAATATAAAGTGTATAAAACCCGACTTCAATAAATTGTGCTTTGAAGAATGGATTTCGATTTCTTATTAATATAAGCAACCAATATTCAAATTCATGCTCAATCAACCAATTGGTTATCAGTTGGTATGGACTCCAATGACATTTATTCCTGTCGAGCCGCTTTCCTTCTGACGCCTGCCCTCTTGTCAATGAATGGAAGAGAGTCTTATGACAGTCTGAATAGATGCAAGCGAGAAAGTAAAAGACAAAAGCGGTGTGAATTAGTGAAAGAGGGGAGTGCAGAATAAAGTTTAGAATGGCAAGCACAAACCATAAATGTTACACAATAGTGTAAAGAAATAATAACAAGTGGTAAATTACTATGAAAATGATCGGGATCGAACGTTGTGGGACTGTATGGGTAGTATTTTCACAATTTCCTCATGAGTTACCTCATAGCGGTATTAACGTGTCGTAATCATATCAGTTTACCTGTATAGCAGCAGACATACGCTAGTCTTTTAGATTTCTTTGCATTCACAATTGGTTTATGATAATGTTTTCGGCACAAGGCCTTACCAACCAAGTTTAAATGTTTATTCACCTCTGGAATAGTTACTCTATCTGGCACTGTTGTAGCATCCCCCATACCTTCTACATCACGCAGCGTTGTTATCTTTATTGTTGCTGAAGACAATATCCTGAGGTTTGCGTTCTTCGAATGTACTTAAAGACTGTAGAGTGCAAAAAAAGCCTTAGCAGCTAATTTGCGAATTACCTCACCGCTTTTCGAATCAAAGTCATGATAGAGTATTGATTATCAGTATGTCGTGTTACAATATATTGCTCAACAGCCTTTTATACAATTTAGCTGCCTAATTCTCATCTTTTTCTACCCCCACTGCCATTTTTATAATCCAGATTATATTGTGCAATAGCATTTCCTTGCTCTGCAGCTCTTTCATATAATTAAATGCTTTTACATAGTGTTACGGTCGGGATTAATTAAATGAGGGTTTTGGGAAAGCGATTTATCTTTTGTTTGCCGACTGGGGGGATGTTACCAGGCTTAGCTCGTACTATCGCCTTTACTACGATAGTTGTGCAATTAAGACTGAATTAAGCCTCGAGTGACCTATTTTAATATGCACGCTTCTCACTCCCTATCCGAGTTTCAAACACGTGTGAATACAAATAAGGGTCTTCTAATAGAATAGAATAATAACAATAATTATTCTATTAAAAAATCGAAGGGGAATAATACTATTTTGAAATTTAAACAGGGCTATCTTCGATTTGTTTGTCGACTAGGCACTTGCCTTTCTAAACTAATTAAACAATAATCGTCTTGATAATTAATTATGAACTCTCGTTCCGTTATTCACGTAATAGATTCGCGGACAGCTTATTAGCTTGATCAAATTAATGCTATTCCGTTACAGCTAAAGTGAGCCGTTTATTGGAGTGTCCGGTATAACAATCAATTATTTCGACGATAGAAATTAAATGGATATTTATAATAAAGGATTTCGGAAGAATACTACTAAGTATAAGATCAGTAGTATTATTTATTTTACAACAATATTCGAACTTTGATGTTTCAGAACATGATAACATGATCTTTTGACAATGGAAATTGAGCTACTTATATATCTTTTAGTGTCACTAAAAAAATGAAACGTACTTTTGTCTAATTAATTAATTATGCCAATTATAGCATTTTGTGCTGTCACTAGTTTTTCGTAACGCTGCGCGCCTGCCACTGATTTTTCGAAACTAAAATTAATGTTGATCACGGGTTTGTTTGACTGTGGAGGAAGATTTTACCATGTGACTCACTTCTCTGATTCATCAGATCAGCTCGCCGTAACACATAGTCTCTTTCTACCCCCAATTCCATTTGCATAAAAAAAGGCTAAATTACATTGTGCCAAAGCAAGGACCTTTTGTTACAGCTTTTTGATAAAATCCAATTGCACTCTGATAATCGTGTTCTACCGCAACATTTCGATCAGCGGTAACACCAGTGCAGAATTCGGCACTAGGGTATGTCAAAGGGGATAGTTGTACACTATATTTCGCTGGATGTCGCTTAATTCATTATTTTCCTCATACTCCTATTTCTTCTTGATGGCATACACCAAGATTCATAAGCATGTTTTTGCTTTGATGCCCGGTCCGAATGTCTGAAGAGCAACCCATATCTATTTAAAGGTTTTTTTGCACCACCAGTTCCATATATGAGTTTGTATGTGTAAACTTTTTTTTAGTAATATTTATCCAATGTTTTATAACAAAATTAAAAAAAAAGTGGCGCTATTTTCTTATAGTGCAGGCGTTACAGTGTGTATTGATATAGTTTTTATGAGGCGAATAGCTTGCTTCGTTTAGCGATTTGAAGTTTATATATTACAATTAAAAAAACCTCGTACATGAGTTTTCATATGACAGTGTGACACTACCGATATATAACCCTCCAATATTGTGTCTACGCAGGTGATATTAGCAGCAGATATAATGACTAGGAAAATAGTTTATTTCTGTGTTAAAGTGCGCCCGATAACTATAAAAATATATCCGAATACGACATAACTAAATAATAATAAATTACCAATACCAGAAAATTCGATATACAAAAACAAAGGACAATCGTATAATCTTTCTACCCTCCAATATTGTGTCTACGCAGATGATATTGACAGTAGATGTAATGACTACAAAATTTGTTTATCCCCAAAAATAAAAAACAAAATTACTTTACAAAAATAAACTACAAGTGTAACCATTATTTCTGCGTTTAAGTAAGTCGATAGTAACATATGAAAAAAATCCTAAATCGACATAACTAGAATAACAATAATAACAAATTTACCAATACCAGGAAATCTGATATATAAAAAACGAAGGACAATCGTATAATCTTTCCACCCTCCCACATAATTGAATAATGGACAGTAATCTTTCCAGGTTAGCATCTGCCTTCATGACAATTACTATGCATCCATGATTTGTAGCGTTCGTTATCATGCCAGAATTGTTGGAAAGAGCAGAAATAGACGATGCTTGAACTAATGAATTGGGGGGAGGATAATATAAATTGTTGACTTGGTTTTCATTGCTTTCGACGTATTCATAAGGCGTGGCATTCAACTGTTCATTTCCCCCCGTGTACATGTTATTATTGGCATCCCAAAGAAAAGCAGCTTGATTGGTAGGCTGAGTAGACGCTTGGAAGAGCGGATAGGAATAGTTGTTACTGAACTCGCCACCAACCAACGGAAGACTGTTTGCATAATTCGAGTCCATACTATGCACGTCATCCAATGGAGGACTGTTTGTATAATTAGAGTCCACAACATACATTTGATCTAATGGAATACCGTACGTATAACTTCCGTAATTTGTTTGGTTATTAACGCCCGTCATATTGGGAACAAAGTGAGTATGGTGAGTAGACATTTATTATTATAGAGAATATTTGGTATGTTATATATACCTCTGCGATGTCACACAAGCTCACCATTGGGTCCGTATCGTATAATTCAGTTTCACAGGCAATACATATTAACTACCAAAAAAGGATAACTTCGAAATAAAGTTAGTGAATCGTGAATGATTCGAAGATAATCAGAGATCTCCCTTGTATATGTGTTACAGCTTTTAAGTTGTGTACAACCAATTTGACGTTCCCCTTATCTTTTTTCTTCTGTGAAATTCAAGATAAACACCTGCTTACATCGTAGTACAAAACATCTACTTCTATCATTATACATTACCATTTGTTCCACGACTATACAGTACCTCAAGGGTCGCACTTATGAAAACGCCCTTCCGGAACGACCATGGATGTCAGTTGTTTCAGTCACAAAAGTGTTGTTATAATGCGAGTATGGTAATGTTAAAACGCTATCGTTTGTATTTTAGACTGGATTCTGTTTACTCATTCCGTTAGTTCCCAACTTAATCTTCTCGCTCCCATATAATATAATTTTTCGAAGATGGCTAGGGAAGAGTACCGGAACCATATGCGTCGAATCCCAAATAGCTTTGGTATTAAAAATTAGGGATCGTGCTGGCTAAAGTAAAGAGTTATATGAAATAATGTATCATGATTACTAGGAATGACAATACCTGGAAGATGATTCATAGTCCCAACGAAGGCAATTTGTATCATAAGATTACGATTTCAAAAAGTAAAGACACTGATACTGTATTCGATACGATATATCCTTGCGAATGCATGTAAACATACTTGCAAGAAAGCAAATTTAACAGCTTTGCTTTGGTGTATGGCGCTTTACAGACTCCTTTCGTCGTCAAATTGTACATGAGCAATTTCTACGGGAAGATCAACCCGGATGAGCAAAGACCAAATCCATCACTGGATGACCTGTATCAGTGAAAAGCATCGAGGGAGCACACCCCATAATTTCTTCACTCTAAAACGTGAGCTTCACAAGCCGTTTAATCACTCGTTGATGATAAATGTCAAGAACGAGGGTATCTAGAATTCTATTTTTGCATATATGATCAAACTTAAACAAAGCCATCAACTCTTGCTATGGATAAATCGATTCTCATCTTACAAAGATCTTTGCGTCCTTTTCGTAAAAATCACAAATTTTATAAAAAACATGTTCAAGACACATGGAGAAGACTTTATGGCAAAAACCCAATGTAACTACTGAAGGATTGTTTTCCTAGCATTTGTGAATAGGATTGGTGAATAGAGGTGACATGAATTGCTGATTTGCAAAGTATGTTCGTATTTGTTCGTTGGGACCTGTCCATGTAGATCCCATATTGATATTAGGATCTTTGGCGAAGACGTTCGTACTTGGACCAAGTACAGTTGAGTGTATTTGCATACGCTTTCTTATCTGCAACACCAAAGAGATAATCGCTGACTGCTTCTTTCTCTATATGCCTATCATTATAGCTGGCATTGGTAAATTCTTCGCCCCCAGCTCTACAAATATTAGTATACTGTATCAGGAGCTTTCATCAGGACGTTCGCAATTCCGAAATGAAAAGCACTGAAATTGACAATACAAGATGTTTTACGACCAATTCACTACCTGCAATTTTAAGAGCATGTGCCTCGTTATATAATATTGCTGGTATCTGACACGAATTCGCAAGAATATTACCAACCGTGCCGTCCAGGAAGTATCATTGGAGGTGTGATGATTACCAGCATTTAGATAAGATTAAGTCTTTATGTATTCTCAGCCATGTTTTTCCATACGATCTAGTCGCTCCCATGTCATTGTAGCAATCCTTCACAAAATCAGACGCAAGAGTTAATTTTGTACTATTCACATCCGTCAACAATTTACATGTTTACTTATACGAAATCGCCATCTTAAAGGTATTGTTTCCAGCAGTATGTAATAATTGGTAGTAATCATCGTATTTTACTCGCATGCTCAGATCCAGTTTTATATGAACATCTACATCTAGATGAGAGAGACGCACATTAAGCAGTCTTGTCGATACGATCATTCTCTCACCTTTTCAACGCAACACGCTTTTTTAACCATGATTTATAGGCATCGCACATTCAGAAACATTTTTCTCTTTTACCTGGAGTATTTTCAATATTTCGTTAAAGGCATGATTGTCAGAATCAGAAAGTTGAGGAAGAAAAATCAAAGCTCTTTTTGGCAAGTAGATCCGAGCTTGATTAAAAATTTATAAAAATTAATGAATAAAGATGCATAACCGTGGGTTTAGCATTTCTCACATTCTCTTCCTATTTACAAAATGATATTTTATGTATATTGTCTTAATCGATGGCGCGCTAACATGGAGATTCATACCCGAGATTCGAATTATGAAAAACAAACTCCGAAAACTTAAATGAGGATCGACGGGTTGCACGGCAACGCTGGTCACAAACAGGTTGTACGATAGTGGTGGTACATTAATATTAGATGCGATGCTGACATAGAGGGAATCGAATGCCGGCTAGTATTCCAAATATATTTCCCGACATTAAACATTTCTTTGATGACGCATCTTCTTTCGATTCCTTCTAAGTCCGATTGTAACTGTTAATTATATTATTTCCACCAGTGCTGTAACTTGATTGTATTGAAGACTCAAACAGAATCTGATTCTAAAGCTTGGACCAAAGTTTTGAAATCACTCTGTATATTTCTTGAACCGTTGCATTGTGTATCTCGTCGAATTTTTTTTTTCGTTGTTAATAGTTAACGTTTGCATTCTGAATTACCGCTCCGGCTGTTACGTACGTAATTGAGGTGATGGTTCATCGGAAGTAATTTAAAGCCTTTCAATTGTCTGTTCAGCCTATCATTTTACGAAAAAGTTTCTATTAGATTATACATCATTAATCGTGTTAACAAAATCAACGTAACCGGATATGCACATAATTCTTTACGCTAATGCTTTTCTTAAATTTTCTCGTAACCTTCTTGAAAGTTCCGATTCGTCGCTGATGACCTGGCTGGCCAATAGATCTGATCTTTCCAAGATAGCTCCGTAATATTTGATATAGGGGATTGTAGTTTCTCACTTAGCTTAATCGCATTATCTTCAATTTAGAGGCTTTCTTTATTCGTCTAACAACCTAGCGTCTTTAAAAGAAATGGATTGGTTTTCAATAATAAAAATCACATCGTAAAAAATGCATATACTATCATGTGCAAAGTTATCATTTTTGTGCGGACATCACGCAATGCTCTATTTTCTACACTACGTAACAAATGACTCTAATACATGTAATACCTTCCAGCCTTCGGTATGTTGCTTTGATAGTGGACCACATAATATCATCATATAATGAAATACTCTTATAAAAAGTTTAATAACTAACCTGCGATGAATCCTAAAAGCTTTCGCTGACGCGGAACATCAGCGACTAGGCTCCTAGTTTCATGATAAACATTGCACTAATTTGAATACTATTATATTACAATTGTTCGCACCATTATTTTTGATGCATAGGTTGGAACGACAGTAGCATCACTTTGTATTTCGGTATTTTGAGATCAAGAAAAGATATTCGTAGTTGTGTTTTGAATTCCTCATATATCAAACGAATGTTTGCATATAAGGAATCGGTTTCGAAGAATTAAAGACAAAGTATATCCATCTGTTGGAGTCAATATAATATTATTCTAAAAATGCATTGTTTCCAGCTATCCAATGATAGAATACACCCATCACTTTTTTTTTTGCACAATATGTTATGGGTAACTAGAGCGAAGTGGAGAGGGTTTCAGGGTTCGATGATTAATATTGTTATAAAGCATCTTCCGAAAATCAAAGTAAAAACAATAATACATATGGATATATTACTCTGAACGACCATTATCGACAAATAAGTTTATGTTATAGTGTGAAGAACGAGTTGCTGCATGTAATGTCGTTGACTACTGACACACATCATTACTCTTATTTTTATTGGATACATTTAATAATAAAATTGTTAACATGTGCGTACAACAAGTAGTTTTTGGATGAAGTTGGGATCTCAACATTCATATTCATGATGGTGGTTTTATAATTTTCCCTCTATGATAATTACCGATTCTATCTTTATTATATATCTTATGTATCGACCAGCATCAACTCAACCGAAATTCTTAACTCCGCATTCAAAACCCCCATTCTATAAAAAAGAGTTTCAACGACGCGACGTTAGAACAACAGTTCATCTTTGTTGTGCAGGATTGTTATCAGGCCATCCTGGTCTCAGTAATCAAAAAAGAAAGAATGGACCCGCGACTTTTCAGGGACGGCACAAGCCCATAAGAATCGTTAGGGGCTACTTGACCTGGATTACAGGCCAAAGCAGAGGGTGGTTATTTATAGGGGAGTGTTTTAACCCGACGACTTTTCAGAGACAGAGCGAGCCAAACACTAAGGGTATTTGTAAAGAGCGTTTGACCTGATCTGCAAGCCAAACGAAGAGAAAACGAAATAGAACAAGGTAAAAGAGAAAAAAAAAAAACGAGAAAAAAGGAGCGGATAAAAAGAAGTATAAAGGGGAAGAAAATAAAAAATAAAAATTTATTTTAGGCTGAAGCTGTTTGTAAGATGCCATATACTTAGGAATTGGAGTAGTAGGGGCAGCAAAAAAAAAAAAATTCGTCATCTCACAGTATCAGCAATAAACGTCCAAGTTTGAATTTTAACTGGCGGGAGATGTAATACAGAGGTGGGTTGGTCACACGTGGCGCGCGGTTGTGAACGTAATATACGATAATTACGCAATAAGGATTTCATTTAGGGTCATTTTCTCGTCTCAAATGCTTGACTCTACACAAATACGGCCATAAATATATCATACCAGAAGGTTTTAACCATAGAAGAACTTCGCAGCATTGAGAACCGTCATTTCGTAAACATAACGACACTACATGTCTCAAACAATTCGAGGCATTATTTTAATAGCA